AGACTGGGGATCGAATCCCACGTCGGGCTCCCAGTGCATGGAGCCTGCTTCTCCCTCTGCCTGTGTGTCTGCCTCTCTCTCTCTCTGTGTGTGTGTGACTATCATAAATAAAAAAAAAAAAATTAAAACTGAGCTCATTATCTCCACTCTTCTCCATTACTCCCTCTTTTACGATCCACATTTGTTTCCCACACTGTGTCTATAATCTCTTCTCCACACTACAGCCAGAGGGGTCTCTCTAAAATGCAAATCTGATCATATCACTCTCCTATTTAAAAATTTTCAAAGTTGAGGCACCTAGGTGGCTCAGTAGTTGGGCATCTGCCTTTGGGTCAGGTCGTGATCCTGGGGTCCTGGGATCAAGTCCTGCATCAGGCTCCCCTCTGCCTGTGTCTCTGCCTCTCTGTGTCTCTCATGAATAAATAAATAAATCTTTTAAAAATAAAAATTTTCAAAGCTCCTCTGCATCTTGAAGAGAAAGCCTGAGTTCCTTAACATGAGTTATAAAGCCCTTTTGATCCGACACCCTGCTCCTCCTAATCTCTCCATCCTTCTTTTTTGTTATTTACCTCCTCAAACCTTCTCTCCTGCCTCCCACCACATATACTTTAGATTCTGACCATACCTTGCAGTTCCTGGCATGTGTTCCATTCACTTGGCCTCTGGGCCTTTGCTCAGGCTGCTCCATCTCCCTGAGGCCCCGACTCTACCAACCATGACCCTTTCCCTTAGCAAATGTCTGCTTATATTGCAGAGGTCTCAGTTTAGATATCTCTACTTCTGGAAGACCTCTTTGCCTGATGGCCCATGTTTTTCTAAATACCTCTCTCAGGTGCTCCAGCATGCTCTTTGCCCATGTATTTGAAAGTTTAATTATTGGTCTTCTCCACTAGACTGTAAGTTCCCTAAGAGCAGTTTAGTTAATTTGCTCAGTATGGCATTCCCAGTGCCTAGGATCTGAATGAATGGAGGCTGCCAAGAAGTACACAGAAGTTTGGAGACCCTCTTCCTAAGGTTAAAAACATAGATATGTATGTGTCAGTATATATTATAGATCAAGTATCCCCTAGCATTTTTGGGTGCTACTTGCTGCTATCATGAGTGATACCAATAGAAGTGAGAAGACATTTGGTACATTTCTTTTTTTTTTTTTTTTTTTTTTTTTTTTTTTTTAGATTTTTTATTTATTCATAGATACAGAGAGAAAGGCAGAGACATAGAGAGAGAAGCAGGCTCCACGCAGGGAACCCGATGTGGGACTAGATCCCAGGACTCTAGGACCACGCCCTGGGCCAAAGGCAGGCACCAAACCGCTGAGCCATCCAGGGATCCCCCTATTTGGTACATTTCTGTAGAAGAAGAAAAAGCTGCTAATGTCCAGGGAACTCTGGGGGATGCTTTTTCTTTGAGCTTGGACCTTACTGCTCTCCTGACTATCCAGTGGTGAGCATATTCACCCCACACAGGGCTGAGAAGGTCCTTAACCTTTGCAGCGTGAGGTGAGGAATTTGTCCTTCATTTTCAGTGAGGAAGCAAAATCCTTTGAACATTACCATTTCGTCCTCAATGTAAATAATTTCCTATGTTTTGTTATCCCTCAGGGCAGATTTTGACAAGAGGAAGGAAATGGCAGGAAACACTGGGCAGCAGCAGGAGACCCTTGGACTAACCGGACCTGTTCAGATAGGTGTTGGTGCCTCAACTGAGAACTCCCAGAGATAATCTAACATATGCCTCAGGTCCACAGGGTAGATCTGCATCGCAGAGTCCGTGATGTTCAAACATCCTCCTGTATTTGTGGGAGACAAGCCTGACACTTCCCAAAGGATTAAGTGTTGGTGTTTGATACAGAATAAAGTGCCGTGTATATTGAGCTTTTCTAGGGATAGTGTTTGTCCTTGTCATCTTTTTGGATCTATGGCAAAATATATGCAGAGGGAGGGAGGCCCAGAACAGAGGTGAATTTGTGGTGAAATGACAGCACTTCAGCGCCAGGACCCCTCACTTACTGAGCCCAGCCACATGTTTACAAGGTTGATGTAAAATTTGCAGAAGTAAGACATTTTAATTACAATAAGACCATCAATTAAGACCACTGTCTCCACTCCCCCTTCTGTTGATGTCAGGTACCCCTGGAGTGGCTATGGCCATCTTTGCATCCAACAAAAGAGAATATGTCTTGGGGGTATGTTTGGGTTAGAGGGATATGCATATGTTGTTCAGTCACTTCTGTATGGAGGTAAAATAGCAGCTGTCCTGAGGTAACTGTGGATTTCCAGAATATTCCTACAGATTTCGGCGCCAATTCAACAGGATAGAACATTAGCAATAAATCAAACCTGTTTAAGCTTTAGACCCTGCAAAACCTGGATCCACCTTCTCTCTAGGCCCTCTAGAGCCTATGCAAACCTGTGAACAACCCCAACTTGGGATTCCAAGCAAGAACACTGACAAGATCCTTTGATTCCCCTCCTACCCTCTGGCATTACATTCAGTTCTACATGGTACTATCATGTCACCACCAATGAGAGAGGGCCATTTTGCAAAGCCTTTGGCTTGATCCTACACTATTATTCGAACTACAATTTATAGCATTTTTGCTTACAAGGAAAAAAAACTATAGAGTAGGAAATGGGTGTGAGTGAGATGACATGGCTCTTTGTCATGAATTCTTAATTTAATCCTACAACCACTAATTTGGTTCTTAACAAAGAGTTCTTCTTTCAGCCTAGTAGTATATTGGCTATGGGGGTGGTTTTTTAAAATACATTTTATACTGGATACAAAAATATTATTGTAATGTAAAAACAATAAATTCTTATGCAGAAAACAAAATTCTTCAAACTCCAATCACTGCTAAGTCTGTTGTAAATTCCTACTTTTTTGCACACTATATGGTATGCATATTCTGTTCAACATATTTCTAAATATTTTTTGACACAGTGGGATCGTATCCATATTGCTTTGCAACTTGCTTTTTTCACCTACTAGTGTATCTTAGATATCTTTTTGTGTTATTTTTAAGGGTTGAAGAGCATTTTTATCTAGTTATATCATTAATTTCATCAGTCACTTCCTAATATTTAGGTTTTTAGGGTTTTTTATTTTGTTTTTTACTACAACAAATGGTGCTGTAATAAGCATCCTTGGTCATTTATCTTTACACATTTTGGAAGGTGTTTTATTTTCTGTAATATAAATTTCTTTCTTTTTTTGTAATATTAATTTCTAATAGTAAAATTCCAGGGTCAAAGAATAAATACATTTTAAAATGTTAATAGGTGTTTCCAAATTGCTCTTTTACTCTCTGTACCAATTCATAGACTCACCAGAAATTCTCAACAGCCTTGTCAATCACTAATTTTTGGTGATCTTAAAATGGCACCTAAGGGTTCCTTTAATTTGTATTTAATAGGTTGGATGTTTTCTTATCTTCATTTACTATCGTATTCTTCTATGACTTGCCTATTCATTATTATTATTTTCTTATTCACTTATAAGAGTTATTTAGGATTACCTGAGATACTAGCCCTTCATCTTAGTATGACATTTTGTTGCCAAGGACACCTGTTATTGCATTTTATTTTATTTATTTTTATTTTTTAATAATAAATTTATTTTTTATTGGTGTTCAATTTGCCAACATACAGAATAACACCCAGTGCTCATCCCGTCAAGTGCCCCCCTCAGTGCCCTCACCCATTCACCCCCACCCCCTCCCTCCTCCCCTTCCACCACCCCTAGTTCGTTTCCCAGAGTTAGGAGTCTTCATGTTCTGTCTCCCTTTCTGATATTTCCTACCCATTTCTTCTCCCTTCCCTTCTATTCCCTTTCACTATTATTTATATTCCCCAAATGATATTGCATTTTAAACCCTTAAATTCTTTTATGAAAATCCTTTGCAGTATAGTCAGGATGCTGTATGTAAATTAATAAGAACAAATGGAGATGTTTCATATAACTAAAAGTTTGGGTGCACAGTGGTCAAAAATTTATTTAGAAGGTAAGTTTGTACTTTATTAGTTTATTAGTTTGTACTTTATTATTAGGGGAGAAGTTGTCATTTTTCCCTAAACCAAGGCAAGAGACTAAGTTTGAAATAGGGATCCTCTTGCCAGGTTACAAAAAGCTCTGTCATTAAAAATTATCTCTGTTCTAGCAGATAGTGTATGCACAAATGGCTTATTTTTATTTTTAATGATTTTACTACCCAATACCAGGCTCTCCATCTGACATTTATATCTAGAAAAGTTAGGAATATTTTAATTTTGTAGGAAACTAATTTGAATTTGGCACCTAGATTGAATTATGTTGGATGTTTTTCATAGAAACTGGTGCATTCTCTTATTTTGCATGGTTAGCTCTTACTTGCTCATAGTTCAGCTACATACTGGGTACAAATGAATCAATACTTTGATAGGCATAAGTTAGACTTGCTATAAATACTAGGATTATCAGAAGACAAAAAATGCTGGATCAGAAGTTGCAGTGTGACAGCTTGCTAATTGTATCTGCCCCACAGATCTAGTAAGTATTTTGAACCGGTTGCTAATGCTTATAAATGGTTTCATATAAAACTTGATTTCTAGTTTCTCTTGAAAAATGAAACATGGGCACTAATGGATTATATACATATTAATAGTGAACTAGAACTACGTGGTGGCTATTCTTTGATAGGCAGGGTAAGTGGTCTCCAGTTTGCCACAGTTCCTGCAATACTTTTATGACCCTCTTTGCTCATTTATGTACATTTTATAGACTATTTTTTTATTTATAGGCAAATAAAAATATAAAAAGCCATGTCTTTTTCATTGATACATTAATGAAGACATCATAAACTCCTTTGCTTTATTGGGTTTTCTGGCACATTCATTGCCTTAAAAATGTGGTAAGAAATACAGAGACATAAGAAGCAGTAAATATCCCAGAGATAGTAACTTCTTCCCAGCTTTTACCAACAAACCACTATTTTGGTTGGTGAAAAAGATGACTGAAAAGTTTTATACTTCCTGGAGTTCTACTATCTTACGCTGTAATTTCTTTAGGTCTTTTTGTACTTTATATTTCTCTAAATCCATCTTTGTTTTCTGTATTTGTTGAAGGGAGTTGAGAGAGTCGTGAATTGATTTAAATCCTAGAAGAGAATATGAGAAGAGATATGCTTAAATTAAACAGTGCTTTGGAATTCTTTTTTTAAACAAAAGTTGCTAATCAGCAGTCTCGTCATAATTGATCATCATTTAATGAAAAGCATATTAAATTCCAGTAAGACCAGTCTAAAAGTGTACAATAATCCATTTCTTATATGTCCTAAAGATGCATTAATGATAGTGTTTCAGCTTGTATCTGGCTTCATTGTGAAAATTTAATTCAGTTCCTCTGCCCCTTGCCCAAATATATTGCATAACAAAATAATTCTATATTTCAAGAAAGATATTAAAATATTTTCTTCTCTCTGTGTATTTTGATAAGAAATTTGGATGATTTTTTTTAAAGTTCTTGTTACCAAACTGAAGATAAAGAACACAAGTGAGATTTTTTTTTTTATGATAGTCACAGAGAGAGAGAGAGAGAGAGAGACAGAGACACAGGCAGAGGGAGAAGCAGGCTCCATGCACCAGGAGCCCGACGTGGGATTCGATCCCAGGTCTCCAGGATCGCGCCCTGGGCCAAAGGCAGGCGCCAAACCGCTGTGCCACCCAGGGATCCCCACAAGTGAGATTTTAAAACTTCTCAGAAACTAACCTGTTGAGGGACCTATGGAGTGGCCGCCAGCTGTTCCCCCTGCACCCACCCCATAGCACTTTGTCTCTCTCTTATGCAAGTCTAGTTGCTCATGACCAGGACCTACCAGACCTCGAGCTTCTTAGGGTACCCCATTTCTTATTCATTGGGCCTTTCACATAGTCATTTTCCAATATATTTTTATTAAAGGCATAAAGGAGCACACCATTAATTTAGAATTCTCCTTTGCTAGAACTCCAGGTTAGTAAAATGAAAAAACATAGATTGTTAAGTTCTTCTTTAGCTCATCCTGAATGAATATAATTAAACCTCTGGTCCTAAGGTAGAAAGCAGAGCACTAAAAGAAGGGCCAGTTAAGTTTTGGATATGATTCCTGGCCAGATAATTCATTATTTTGATTTGGCAGCGAGATAGGGGGATAGGGGCAGTGTGCGTCAGATTTCCAGGCAGCAAATTTTACTTACATGCTAGGAACATCTGGCAAAATGAGGGCATAATATCTTTCCAAGACACCTTCAATTCACCTCTGTACAGGACCAAAATTTGGGATAATTTACATCAATTTTTAAAACTAGAAGACAGAAAATGAGATGAGTCTTTCTTTAAAAAGGAACCTCTGGTTCCTGGTAATTCCCTCAGGATTGTGACTTGAGGCAGATGGTTGCTCCACAGCACCTATCCCATGTCCTTCCCTTTGACAAATTAGATGAGCCTTTCAAATTAATCCCCTTTGATGTAAGCTCAGCTTGACACTGCTGCCATTAGCCTCCTTAAGAAGAAAAGCAGTCATTATACTGGACTCTGTTAATTCATCTCTCTTTCCCTCTTCTAAAGGTCAGGTCTCCAGTCTGACATCTGTCCAGGCTCATTACCTGCAGTTCAATAAGGGACATTTGATTTCAGGTCCTAATTTCATGATACACCACAAGTCAAGTCTTGATCGCAAGGACTTTGCAAGTATAACAATGATTCTATGATCTTAGTTAAAAAAAAAAAAATCTCACAGCGTTGGTCAGCTTGTGACATTGCCAGGTCCAAATGAAGAATGTGAACTTGTTTACTCACCTTCCAATGGTATGCTAACGTTTTGTGGGATATTTAGAAAAGTCAGATGAAATACAAAAGGATATCGATAATGACAAGACTGATCCATGGTCATGAGCTCAAAGTAGACAACCCTGAGGGACTGGATAAGCAAGGACTGGTGTTCTTAATCAAAGGTGTCTGCTCACCTGATTGATATTCATTCTGCATTTTCTCTAATTCACCCCAAATGTGCTTTTCCAATTGGTGCATCTTTTTGGACAGTTTATTTTCTATATGCTTTACTTTGCTTAGTTCTGCTTCCTGTTTCTCTGTGTTAATGAAATTCTCTAATTTGCTTGAAAGCTGCAATAGTTTTTCTTTCATTTTGTTTTCAGATTTTTCCTATAAAATAAGATATCATGTGATAAAACTCTGCAGAAAACAAAACTTATGAGGATTTGTTTTTCAGCTTAGAGAATGTTTTTAACAAATTTGCTTTTCCATGCTAAACATGAAAAATCCCACCAAGTTCCCTTGTATCTAAAACCGTGTTCACAAAGATAAGAGTTCATCTCTTTGGCCTTGTTTGTAGTTTCTAGAATTCTGCATGTGATGGGGGAAAGAAAGGGCTGTGGTCTTGCTGAAATGCCTTGAGGATTTGGAGTTATAGTCTAGTGTTTAAAGTAGTGTGGCCAAGGGAACACCTGGGTGGCTTGGTGGTTTACTGCCTGCTTTTGGCTCAGGGCGTGATCCTGGGGTCCTGGGATCGAGTCCCATGTCGGGCTCCCTGCATGGAGCCTGCTTCTCTCTCTGCCTGTGTCTCTGCCTCTCTCTCTCCTGTGTCTCTCATGAATAAATAAAATCTTTTAAAAAAAAATTAAATAAATAAAAAAAGAAGCATGGCCAAGGAAGGCATTTTAGTTACTGCTTGACCTAAGGTCCTTGGACATGTTCCTGTTAGGGTGTCCATATTCCCTTAAGCTTCATATCTCCACGTGGACACAGTTCAACTAGAATAGTGATTCTCAACTCCTGTTGCCTATTAGTATCACCTGGACCATCACACCATCCTCCTAATACTGTGATTTAATTGGTCTACAATGGAACTCAGGAATTATCTAGTTTAAAAACTCTCCAAGTGATTCTAATTGCAACAAGGTGGGGACTCATGTGGTCCAGATTCATTAGCTTCTCTGTGCCTTCTTACCTCCCACAGGGAATTTGCAAGCAGGAACCAGGTGAGACTGACTTAGCTCCTGTGGTTCTCCTGTCTTTGGTCCTGCCTGCCTCAGGGAGATGGAGTCCAGCCTCTCTCTTACTTGTGGTAGGAAGTTTCTGCCTGCAGGTGACCCTGTGGTCACCTGGTGCTGCTGGTGGATGAATCTATCTAAATCCAGGAGGACTAGCAGGCCCTCCTGGCTGCACACCTGACCACATGGACTTGAAAAATCTTATCAGTGATAAAGGTGTAATGGTTATCTCCATCTCTTGGACTCCTATCTCTGTCAGCTGCCCAAAGCCCGTCTACCGAAGTTCCAGAAACATCTTATTTGGATCCTTGGCAAGGCTGGAAGCCACTGGTGACACAGATGGCTCTGTGCTGCTCTCCTGTTGGGGCTAGCAGCTGGGCCAGCAGAGATGGCTGGAGTGGAAGGGCATCTATAGTGAACAGACTCCTCTATCCTGTAGTCTTGCCTCAAAGCTGAAGGGTTCTCTATAAGGTTGGATCTGGAAAAGGAGTTTTGGAAACCTTTGGTCTACTAATGAATCTTTGGAGAGGTAAACTGACTTGTCTATGGTCAAAGTTTTTAGGCTTTATTGCACCCGAGCATCACCCAAGGAGCTTGCCCGGAAGCACAGATCCCCAGGGGAGGACTCAAGGGGTCTGATGCTGCTCTGAGTTGGGACCAGGAATCCATTTAAAACAAAACAAAACAAACACCTCTCTTTTGGTTATTCTATTATGGATTCATGGAGCTGCAGAGTAGCACACAGGACCAAAAAGCAGGCCTCTGGATTCCTATGCTGGTGCAAAAAAGGTAAGTTACTGACACAGTGAAGTTACTGTGATGTCAGAATGAAACTTTAAAGACCTTTACTCACTACTAACATCCAGACCTTTACTCACTACTGACACTACTCGCTACTAACATCCAGACGACTATGCAGCTGTTTACTTCATGAATAACAGATCTCCTTACCAGTTTCTCCTGGAGGAGCTTCAGACATTGATTTATGTGGCCAAGGTGGTCTTTTTCATAGTTGATGAACTGGTTTTTTGTCCATTTTTGATGGTTCTCAATTTCCTCACATAGATTATTTGAAAGTGAATTAAATCTAAGGGGAAAAATATTTCAACTTTAGTAGGTAATTTTGAACATAAAACCAAAATTTTGTATTGAAAAACTCTGCAGTTTTTTTCAGATGATAAGGCTCAAGATGCCTAGCACGTTCTTATGAGTTGACGTGTGAGGTGGGGGTGAGGGAGCACATTCTGGTCCCTGCCCTGAGCTTGCATTCAACTGCTCATAACACCCCTCCTCAAACTTTAAAATACACATATACACAATGACAGACACACAGAAACACGTGTATCATCCATGCAGATTTCCTCTTAGGGCCCAGGATGCTTTGTGTGGGTGGAAGAAACACTGGTAACTCACTTGGGATGGGGATATCTCTCTGTGATGGGGGTCAGCAAACTCTTTCTATAAAGGGTCAGATAGTAAATATTTCAGGCTTTGTTAGCCATATGGCCTCTGTTGCAACCACTTGGTTGTACAATGACTCAATGCTGTCATTGCAGTGGGAAAGCAGCCACGTATGATACAAATAACATGGCTTGTTTATAAACAATGAACACGGTTGTGGTCTAATCTAACTTCATACACACTCACATTTAAATGGCATATAATCACATGTCATAAAACATTTTTTTTAGTTTAAAAATAGTAGAAAGTGTGCAAATCATTCTTAGTAGTGGCAGATTTGGCTAAGGGTGGTAGTTTGGGGTCACTATCCCAAGACCACAAGACCCCAAGGGTCACTATCAGGCTGGGGGAGGAGCTGGGCCAGAGAAAAGTCACACATAGGGAGTGGGGAAGGGAGTTGGAAGAGAGCCCAACAGGACTTTAGGAAAGCAGAGTGTCCACGGGAGACAGTCCTTGGTTGTCTTGTCTGTCTCAGGTGAAACTTCAGTCAAGGCGCCATTGCTTCCAGTGGGGCTCTGTTTGTGGATTCTTTGAGGGGTGGGGTGCAGGGAGGGCTTAAAGAGCTGTTGAGTGACTCACGTGGGGGCAGAAACGGTTGCAGTTGGCTAAGGTGCCGGGAGCAACTTCTGGCATCAAAACGATGCACCACAGGAATATTAAATAACAGAGAATGAACGATTTTTGAAAATGGAAGTGGAGGTTATTACAAAGAGTAAAGGATTGGAATCATATTATCATCATTTGAAAAGTCACTGTAGAGTGGCTGAGGGTATGAGTAGAAAGGAGCATCCGCAGCTAGCAGCCTTGAGAAATACGGGTCTGAGCAGAGGTGGGGTGAGGGGGGGACTGCTGAGTGGTCTCTGTACGTCTTCTGCACGTGACTTGCTTGTAAGATGTCAATTTCAAATTCCCTTTTAGAAGAGGCGGTGTATTAGGCAGGTGCAACGCATGTTGTTTGTTATTGAAAATAGATTACCTAATAAAAAGTGGGTGGCTTGACATAATCATCGCTGTAATGTTTTCAGGACAAATTATATGCAGATAATTTCATTTGTGCTATTTATCATTGGAAACTGCTTAAGACATGCTAGACGTATATTGTATGTATATGCCTCTTTAGCTTCCCTGAAAAAGTATTCGAACTAATATTTGTAAAAGACAGGTTATATGAGGTCATTTCCATTTTTATTTAGACCAATGGACATTAAACAATATAGAGACATTTTTGGTTGTCACACATTGGAGGTGTTGGTGACAGGTAGAAGGTAGAGGCCAGAAATACTGCTAAACATCCTACAATGCACAGGACAGCCTTATAAGTAAGAATTACCTAGCCTAAATACCAATAATGCCCATGTTGAGAAACCAGGATTTAGATGGTGAAATCAAGGAATGGGAAAAGTTAATTTTCCAGTAGTTATATTAGTTGTAGAATAATAGCTGAATTCTAATCTTCATCTCTGTGACTTATCACGTTTTTTTAATATGGAGAGAGATTTTTCACATAGAAAGCATACCTTGATTCAGGTGAGTACTTTAACTCTTCATTAAGAGCCTGCCTTTGGCCACTCTGCCTGTTCTTAATATAACCACAATTTCCAGACACCTGTGCTCTAGCTAACAGCTGATGAATCTCAGACAAATACATTCCCAACTGATACGTGGACAGCCTCATTTTAGCCAAGTGTTTCTTATGTCTGGAACACTCTTCCTTAGGATACATAACGGCCCCTGCCCTCATTTCATTCAGATTTCTATTCAAGCACCACTTAACCACCTTAACAGAGGACTTTTTTAAAAAACCACTCTTAAAAAACCAAAAGGTTTTATTTTCCCCATCACACTCTCCCTATTCCTTTACTTTATTTTTCTCCAAAATGGTTATCACCATGTGATGATTATATATATATATATATATATAATTGGGGTGCTGTCTGCTGCACTAGAACCTAAGCTCCACCAAAGTATTTTGCTTGGCTCACAGTGGTAAATAATGGCTGGAATATAGAAAGTGTTCAATGAATAGTTGAATAAATGGATAAATGATTCATTCTTACTCATTCAATACCTTTTACTAGGGCTGTTCACAAATAACAAATCATACACTTGCCGAGCTATTTAGAAATCTGATCTTCAGTGTTCATCTTCCCTTTCCTATCTCTGGTGGAAATATATTAATTAATAGTGATGGTTAAGAGGGACAGTAAATCCCCAGATAATCAAGAGCTAGCTTTGCAGTTGGGAATCCAGCCTTCAGTGTTCACCTTTACTGTGTGTGTTGTTAAGAGCATTTACTCTCATTACTGATACAATATTAACATCCCTCGGAACACCAGGGAACCATTAAATGTGCCCAAGTAATATCTTAGAAGCACATATCAGTAATTAGAATTCTGAAATTAAAGTCATAATGAGTTACTACATACGATCATTTTACTCCAAGGTTTTGCATGCAATTGGAGACTCACTTTACTGGTAGCCGCCAAAAGTCAGACTCTGGGTAGTTTATGAAAATATAAAAGAATTTTATATTTTAAAAGCATTTTTTGGGGATCCCTGGGTGGCTCAGCGGTTTGGCGCCTGCCTTTGGCCCAGGGCGTGATCCTGGAGACCTGGAATCGAGTCCCACATCAGGCTCCTGGCATGGAGCCTGCTTCTCCTTCCTCCTGTGTCTCTACCTCTCTCTCTCTCTCTCTCTCTCTCTCTCTCATAAATAAATAAATAAATAAATAAATAAATAAATAAAATAAATAAATAAATAAATCTTTAAGAGCATTTTTTTTAAAAAGCATTCTCCTGGAAAGATAAAAAGGATAAGCTAAAATAAAAGTTTATATAAATCTCGTTCTTTCCTTAGGCTTTCCCCTAACAGAATGGATGTGATTTTCCAGGAAAGAATTACTTTTCTATGAATTATAGAATCTACAGTTAAAAAATCTCAACTAGAGGAATTTATCTTGGATGATATTCACATTTTAGCTCCCAAATCCTCTATTCCAATGGTTATGGTAGTATCTCTATCAGGTATAGGTGGATATGGATAGGGAGGGAGGGAGGAGGGAAAGAGGTAGATGCATGGATATATAGGGGTTTTTTTTCTTTTTCAAAAAACACAAAAGTCATACTTTTAAATTATAGCCAGAGACCTTACTAGGATAATGTGAGATACAGTTTTTATAAAAATTTTATAAATTTTATATTGATAGGATCAAGTTAATATTCATGTCAAGGGCAATAATAAGGAAGAAAATTACAAAGGGTGAAATAAAATTTAATGGGGACCTATAGACCTAGCAGATGGCTGTGGTGAGTGTGAATGGTGAGGGAGAGTGTGGGGCGTGCAACAATCATCCTAGTGACCACTGTGGTTATAGTAGACATACATGAATGAGGATATAGCCCCATTCTGGCCCCTACCCCATTTTTTTTTAACCAGTTCACTTCTGTCTTAAAGTCATTGTCTTGCATTCAATAAGTGATTGAGCTTTTCTGGAGTGTATGAAAAGTTTGAATTCTTGGACACTCTTTTAACAGGCTGTCAAGAATTCAGATAATGGCTTCAACAAAGTCAGTCTTTGGAGACTGAAACTAAGATTTTTAAGTTTCATGTTAGAAGAAAGAAATTAATTCCAAGAAACATTTTTTTCCTACTAAATTTATACCTATATACTTAAACTAAGTTCTTCATGTCCTGTGGTTTCTAGTGATGCTGATAAAGAGCAACTCCACCTCCATTCTGCTAGGAAGCCTCTTATCATTCCATATTGTACTTGAGCTTAAATCTCAACACCTTCAGAGCCTCATACTTTCATAGTTTCAAGCAGATGTGATGTCCATTCCCTGAATTTCTGTAGCACAATTAGTTTATCAATGGTTAGAATTGTTAGATGGAGGTGTCATAGATCTATAACATAATCTGAGACTTGGAGTCAGACACTTTCTAACTCTGTGACTTTGGGCAAATTATTTAGTTTCCCTGACTGTGCTTCCTCATCACTAAAATGGGGATAAGACCCACCCTGCAGAGCTGAATGCACCTGAATATCTCGATCACTCAGTGATTATATATTTATCAATAACAATTAGTATATTTTTTTATATCTGCCTACTGATATACCTCATTTAACATTGTCTTGTTACTTATGTTTAGCTTTTTACCTATTTATGTATTTTTCCTGCTAACTATATGTGGCTATGATTTTGTCTTTGAATATCCCAAAACACAACTTAAACATTCTTGGTTCTCAAAATATTCATTCATTGATTTATTCATTGGCTTCTATTTGTGTCTGAATGTGCTGGGTGCTGAGAACACAAAGATGGATGAGACACATCTTTGACTTGAATAGTTTGTAACTTAATACTGTGGGGAGATTTTCAAAGCTGTGTGGGGAGATGTGAGTCTGTGCATTTGCTTCGTTGATTGAATAATTTTTCTTTTCTTATAAATCACTGTCAATTAAACATTGTCAGCAGCAAGAACTATCTAGGGAGTGACTAGTAGGTACCTCCCCGGCCAAACCCTTGCTAAAAAACAGGCATATTTTATGATGGCTAAAATATGGCTTAGTCTATAGGCACTAAGATGGCTTAGTCTATAGGCACTAAGTTGTTGGCTTAGGACATTACTTAGCTGAACATCTGACTAAGACACTTCTGGAAAAAGGAGGCTCAGTGCACTGGTTCAGAAGAAAGAATGTGTGTATCTCCTTTGTCAATTCGAGTCATCAGTGCCAAAAGCCTGGGAATTCACTAAAAAAAACACAGATAGTTTTTGGGCTTTTAAGTTCTATATAGGATATATGTTTAATTGATCGTTAAACTTGAAATTGTTAAAGTTTCTAAATAGTAAAATTGTTCAGTTAAACACACTTTTGAATGTTATTAAAATAATTTTAATTCCTTTATTCAGAGAAAGTTGTTTCTTTTTTTTAAAAAAAGAAGCAAATACTATACCCCATTCACTTTAATTTGAAATATGCTCTGAATGGGAAAGAAAAAAAGAAAGCCCTATCCACCTTACATCCTCTTTGAGGAAAATATATTTGCAATACATACCTCAAAGTGTTAATATCCCTAATGTGAAGGAAGCCTACAAATTGATAAGAAAATGATGAAAATCATGATACAAAATTTGACAAATGATAAGACTGGGCAATTCACAGAAAAGGAAATTCATTGGTGAAGGGAAAGCAAATGAAAACAAGGGATGCAATCTTCATCCTTTTATTGGAAAATATTTATTTAAAAATCCAGTGTTGGTAAGAATGTAGAGAAAGGTGTCCTCATATATTGCTGGTGGAAGTATTGAATTAATTATAGAATATCTGTAAGTTTAAATATTATGCAACTATTAAAAATAATGTTAGAATAGTATTCACCAATCTAGAGAGATAACTAAGATTATTGTAAAAAAGCAAATTTTTGAGTAATGTGAATAGGATGTATTTTTAAAAGCCATGCTCTATCTATACATCTAATGTACGTTATATAACATATATAAACATCCTTTTTCTGTTAGATGTTTATATTAACAAGGAGGAAAGTAGGGAAGGACATAGCCTTGATGTTACCGTGGGTTACATTAGGAAGTTGAAATGAAGACCTTTTTTCCATCTTTGTTTAATTTTGTTACTTTTTAATTATAAAAAATTGATGAGGATTTAAACAAAAAAGAGTCAGTTGTGTATTTAAATGAATTTTAGAGCTCATAGGTATTTGCCTGTGGAAATTTTTGGTTTATAATTTCAGCGTTAATTACTGTAATACTAATGAAAATGTAAGACTTTATTATTTCAAGTGAGGAAAAAAAAGTTTAGGTTATTACAAAAGTGTTCAGATTGATATTTAACTATTTAGATGACTCCTCTATAAGCCAACCGGAAAAAGCATACCACGTCATCAATAAGGCAGGCATAGTTCTCGAAATTTCCTTTTCCTTAATTGGCTGTTTGTTAATATGCTTCAATCCTTTAAACCAGTATTCCATTCCAGATTACAAATCCTCTTTCTCTCCAAGGAAAATCAGTTCTTTTTTTTTTTAAATTTATTTCTTATTGGTGTTCAATTTGTCAACATACAGAATAACACCCAGTGCTCATCCCATCAAGTGCCCATCTTAAAGTGCACTTCTAGAAACGGTCTACTTTTCTACTTCTCCTTTGGACATGTTATTTAATTCTAAACTAACAGGATTAGATCAAGCACCACATAGATATTTACTGAGCATCTTCACTGTGCTGGAATTTAAACACCTAGACATGCTTTTTTTTTTTAGGGTGGGTATTTTCTCTTTACTCAAGACATTTACTTCTTTCAGTTTTAGGGATGACTACAGTTTTTCACCAATTTCTAGGACACGCCTATTTCCCAATTTAAGATCTCCGTAATCAGATGTCTTGAAAATGACAGTATGCTATGGTTTAATTATTAGCATCATGTTTTAGAGGTAAAGAAAAAAAAGGTATGTCTTATAATGAGGGGCACTTAGATTTAATGAGATACTGTAAATATGGGGGAAATGGAGCAAGCAGAGTATATTCAGCATGCTGGACTTGATCAAGTCATTAAGCCCAAGTGATGTGGGACAGAGAGGAAAAAGAGCAAGAGGAGAAGGGGCAGTAAGATAGTATCATCCAAGTGAGAATTTTCCTCTGCCTGTGCCAGAACTCTAGGAAATGGTGGTCATGTAAACAAGAAAGGAAGATTTGGGAATAGGCTAGTAATCTGAATGTTTGTGGAGTCTTACCTCCTTTACTGTTTTCTCTGTTGCATAGGAGAAAACTCAGTGACGATGTGACACAGACCAGTCTTTAGAAAAGGAGAATGTAAAGGGGCAAGTAGGGAATCTTAGAGGAAATTTTTTTTTCTTAGAGGAAATTTTAAAAGGAAAACTTGTAAATCAAAGTTATCTTAAAAATTATTTGATAGTCTTATGGAATCAATGTTTATTCAGTGGAGTGTATCACATTGAGGCATTTTAATATATTAACTGGTGATAAGTTAAAATTACTCTATAGAAAATGTCAAGCTGTATATCAATTCACTTGCAATAAACAGTGACAAAATTAATATTCATATTTCTTTTCTAAAGGTTTTATTTAAATTCCGGTGTACAAACTACTAAATACAGTGTATTAGTAGTTTCAGATGTACGATATGGTGATTCAACACCTCCATACATCACCCGGTGCTCATCACAAGTGGCCTCCTCCATCCCCATCACCTATTTTACCCATCCCCCCACCCACTTCCCCTCATATTTCCTTTATTATGAATATTGTATAAGTTACTGTAGGGTAGAGTAGTCTCTCCATCAGTTTGTTGCTTTATGTCTTGGCCAGTTTCAAATTCCTGGGATGGGTTTTCATTTAATGCCAATACTTTCATTAGGCAAAACCTTTTGGAATGTACTTAACAGAATTAAAAAGCTTCCATTCACTTACTTGAACTCCAAAAGGTTCATTTCATGGCGATAATCTCCCTGGACCATCTTTAAATTTGAGATTTGCTCAGAACTGGAAGCCTCAATCTTTCCTAAGAGCTGCATTACCTAATGAAAGTAAAAAGGGAGCTTTTGTGTGTGTGTGAAGAAAATCACTAGCACTTACATTAATTATACACTATTCCTAAAAGAGCCAAGAAACAAACTTGAGCCTAAAGCACATTTGCATTTGAAAATGATTTTTCCTAAAGGAATCATTCAATAGTTCCAGAACTATCTTCAGAGAAAGAATTATAGGGAAGTTCCATTCTGTTGTCTATTTGTCTATAATATTCTTTTTGATAATAGGCTACCTAGTGATATAACAAAAACATAATATTGATACTAGTTTACAAATTTGTTAATTTTAATTATTTCTTCATTTTTTCCCCCAATACGGTATACCACCATATATCCTCTATTACCATTATAGGCTTAATGCACATTGGATGGCCAATGGTAAACATTCACCAAATGTTTATTGAGTAAATGTTTAGGGGGATCCCTGGGGGGCTCAGTGGTTGAATGCCTGCCTTTGGCCCACGGTGTGTTCCCGGAGTCCCGGGATCGAGTCCCACATCGGGCTCCTTGCGTGGAGCTTGCTTCTCCCTCTGCCTGTGTCTCTGCCTCCCTTTCTCTCTGTGTCTCTCATGAATAAATAAAATCTTTAATTTAAAAAAATGTTTAAACCACAATTAATTAGGCTCTGAGGAAAACACATGAGTGGCCTAAGATTAGGCCTCAGGAATTTCCAGAGAAGAGTCGGACATGAGCACAAGTGAATTCCAAGTTAAATGACTTTAGGGCATATAAAAATAGGAGAAAACAAGTTCCATTTCTGGAAGTTAGGATAGGAGTGCCTTCCACATAGCCAGAAACATTGAGGAAGTTCCTTTAGGTAAAAGGATTGAATTGGAAAATAGAATTGCAGCATATAATCATGCCTAAACTAATCACTGTCCAGAGGAATGAAACTACATGACAGGTTTTGGCCAAACAGAATTCAACTGCTCAAACAGTCACATGGAGGACAGAGGGAAGTCAACAAAATCTAAGTTCTCAAAGAGATGAATAACAGAAGGGCTTGAATAGGTACCTCTGGACAACCAATAGCTCATGAATGGCTATTTAAAGGAGACACACACACAAAAAAAATAAAAAAAAATAAAGGAGACACACTTAAAACAGGCTATTTAGAGGAGTTACACTTCAAAGAATTGTTAACAAGTAATAGGCAAATATATCCCTGGCAAAAGCAAAGGAAAAGAAAGCTGGTAGTATAATATTGTTAGATAAAATGTTATTTGAGGCAAATTATGTTAAATGGGACAAAGATGGTCATTTTTACAGAGGAAGACTAGCGACCACAGTAAAAAGAGTTTTGAACCTTTATTTACATTATATATTGAACTAAAAAGTAACAGGTCAAATAAGTAAAATATAAACAAAGGTATAGGAAGAAATAAAAAAAATATAGTTTATTTAGTAGATTTATACACCAAACAATCTAACTTGCAAACAGCAAGAAACACTCATTCTTTCCCAGAGCCTAGTGAGCATTTGCAACAACCAAGCAGACATAAGACTATAAAGAACTCAGATTAAGGGCACATGGGTGGCTCAGTTGGTTAAATGTCAGACTCTTGATTTCAGCTCAGGTTATGATCTCAGGGTTGTGAGATCAAGCCCAGTGGGCTCCCTCTCTCTTTCTCTTCCTCTGCCCCTGCCCCCCACCCCTAAAAAACAAATAAAAAATTCAGATTATTCCACAAAGCAGGAAAAGCACAGATTATGACTCTAACCACACTCAATGAAAACTAAAAATAGGAAAAGTACAAAGAAACAAAAAAATCTAACCATTTGAGTAAAGTAACCTCCTTTAATTCTGTTAATTCCAGTGTTTTACATGGAAATGTGCCTCTCAGATCTCCTACTCAGAGGAACATCATTGGCAAAGAGCCCTTACCACTGTGTTTAAGATGTATCACCATGTGTGGGTACCATGTTCCCATTAGTTGCTCCCAGTCAGCATCTGAATAGTATTTATTTGATGAGTGACTTTGGTTCAAAAAATTTGGTGAAACTGATAGAATGGCTGGCTCAGACTTTACTTTTCTGTCTCTCCACAGGAGTCAGGCCTATTTTATAATCCGATGGCTTTCTCCATCTCCTCCAAGAACCTCCCCATTTTCCTTCACATTTTTTCCCTCACTTAATTTTCTCTTTAAAAAAATTAATTTACTCTAGAAAAAGAGAGAAAGAGTGGGAGGAGGGGCAGAGAGAGAAAGAATCTTCAAGCCGACTCCCCACTGAGTACAGAGACCTCTGTGGTGCTTGATTCCATGACCCATGAAATCATGACCTGAGCCAAAATCCAGAGTTGGACACCTAACAGACTGAGCCATCCAGGCAGCCCTCCCGCATCCCCCTGCCCCCGCCCACACACACCCAGTTAATCTCCTGCACATCAATTCCTTTATGGAATTTGCTTCTCAAAGGATTAATACAAGTGTCAAAGAATAACTCAATTCTGCAATTACAATTTACTTAGGAAAGGATAGTAAGAACATTGTATATCAATAGGACACAGCCATATCCATAATCAGAGGTAAATTTGTGGCATTAAATGTTTCTATAATTATATAAGACAGAATAAAGCTATGTAAACCATTCATTTCACAAGGTTAAAAAGAATAACAAACCTAACCAGGGGAAAGCAGAATGAAGAAATTGACAAATTGTGATAAATAGAATTGCTTCTTTAAGATAGAAGTGGATTGCTCTAATCCCTGAGACCTGTGGATATGATATGTTAGAGGGCCAAAGGGATTTGCAGCTCTAATTAAGGTTACAGACCTTGGAACAGGGAGATAAATCCTGTTTTTGCAATTGGGCCCAATTCAATCACATGAGCCTCTAAAAGCCAAGCACTCTCTCCCACCTAGAGTCAGAGAGATTTGAAGCATAATATAGACTTAGTCTGTTCCTGGAGAGAGGCCACATGGAAAACATGAGAAAGAAAGCTGGCAGCTGGGGGACCATCAGTCTCAAACTGACAGCCAGCAAGAACCACAGTCACACAACTGCAAGAAACTGAATTTGACCAAAAACTTGAATGAGTCTGGTGGAGGACTAATTCCCAGAGCTGCCTCAAAGGAACACAGCCCTACTGATACCTCGATTTCTGTCTTGTGAGACTTTAGGTGATCTGCTCTAGCTTTGACCTGTGGAAACTATTAGATGATATACTTATGTTGCTATAAACCACTAAGTGGGTAGTAATTTGTTATGGCAGCAATAGGAAACTAATACATAAATATTAAAAATTAATAAGCAAGAAAAAAAGAAAAAATTATAGGATTGATATGTAAAGCCAAGAGGTAATTTCTTTGAAAAGGTAATAAAGTTTTTCTCAGTCTAAACATAAAATGTATAGATATTAAAATTAGGAATAAAAAAGATAAAGTAGTCATAAGTATGAGCCAAATAACAGTGAAAACATTCACAAATCTGAAAGCGGAAGCCAAATAATTATTGATCTTAATTCACCTCTCTCAATCCAAGACAAAATAGACCAAAAAATAAATAAGGATACAAAAGACCCAATCAATAAGCAATATTTAGGTATTGACTAAACTTGTGCCCCCAAAATACAGAATATATTCTTTTAGAACATGTGTAAAAAATTTACCATCCAGCCACCAAATAAAGCCCTTAAAATATTCAAAAAACTGGTATATGTAACAAAAATTTCAATTTTGATGAGATAAAACTAAAAATGAATACCAGGACAACAAAAAGTCCTTAACTCAGAAAAAACAACAATCCCTCTTAAGATGTTCAGTCAAAGAAAAATACAATATACAGTTGGAGAATTTCTAGGAAATAATAATGAGAACATTATATCAACCCTAGGAGATAAGGGAAAGTAAATGAATGCTCAGGGAAAATTCATAGTAAAAAATGCTTATACCAGTAAAACAAAGGAAGATTACAAATATGGAGTTCAAAAAGTAAGAAAGTGAAGCAAAACAAACCACAGGAAAAGAAAATATATACAAAAGCTTAAATTGCTAAGAACATATGGAAAGAACAAAATAGAAACAGAACTTATAGATACATAAAAAGACTGGCTCATTGGAGAGCAACCAATATTGTTAAGGAAAAAAAAACTTACCCATGTAATCAAAGGGGGAAAAAAACACAAAATGGTGAGGGGGGAAAACTATAGAAAGCAGAAGGAATAAAAACAAAACTAGAAGTATTTTGCACAATTTTATGAAATTTAATTTCAAAATCTGGATGAAAAAGGTACTTTTTTCCAAAGAAAAATAAATTACTAAAGCTGACCCTTGAAGAGATGGAACATTTAAGTAGAACAATTTCCCAGAAAAAGCTGAGCAGAGATATCAAAGTTCTCTCCTTCCCATAAATCAATAGGCCCAGATGGCTTTGGAGGCAAAACTACCAAATCTTTAAAGTATAAATAATTGCAATGCTCTTTAAACTGTTTCAGAGCATAGAAAAAGAAGGGAAACTTCAAATTATTTGTATGAAGTAAGAAAAACATTGATTCTAAAATTTGAAAACATGGATGTTTATAATCTTGTTTATAAACATGGATGCAAACTTCTTAAAATAGAAAACAGTATCCAGCAGTACAACTTAAAAAAATCATGATCAAGTGCAATTTATTTTTTTAAACAAGAATTAATAAGAAATATAGTGATACAAATAATTATGCTGGTATATTTAAGAGAAAACTCCTCTGATTATCTCAACAAATGTTGAAAAGGCATTTGACAAAATTCGTAATTACTCTTGATTAAAAACAAAAACTTGATGACCACAGCTTTGTAGTACAACCTGAAACTGGCATTGTGATGCCCCCAGATATGGTTTTCTTTTTTAATATTCCCCTGGCTATTCGGGGTCTTTTCTGATTCCACACAAATCTTAAGATGATTTGTTCCAACTCTCTGAAGAAAGTCCATGGTATTTTGATAGGGATTGCATTATACGTGTAAATTGCCCTGGGTAACATTGACATTTTCCCGATATTAATTCTG